GTCTATTATTCAAACCCTTTACCCTATGCATAGACTTGTTCTTTCAATGGAAACCATCAATAAATATACAAGAAAAAAACAACAAAGTAAAGCAATCAATACCATTTATACCTTTATGAGAGGTTTTTAATTTAATTTATTTTATTTTATTTTAATTAATAAATAATATTTAAGAAAACTGTAAAAAGAAAAAGATGAATGATAAAATTAGAAAGAAAAATGTAAATCCTATATATAATAAAGCCATACGGTCTTCTGAAAATTAAATGGTAATAATCGACATTTAATTTTTACAATATCATAATAATATTGTTAATTATAATAACAATAACAATAATAATTGCAATAATAATAATGATAATAATTTCCACTAACAGTTTCTAATATATATATATATATATATATATATATATATATATATATATATATATATATATATATATATATATACTTATTTATTTAATTATTATATTTATTTATATTTCAATTTCTACTGGCAAATTATTGTGTGAACGATGGTCCTCATAATTGTATGGATCATGAATATCAAATACATTTTTAATATATTAAAAATACATTATTTTTATATTGAAAGTACCTTACAATCATATATAATGTACCCTTAGTATATTTAAAATATACTTTTTTTATTGCATGCAACCCCAAAGTTCATAATTTTGAAATTAATATATGGCATAGCTAGGCGGCCTAATATTTAAGATTGTTGATGTGCATATTGAGGACTACGAAGACAAAGATGCGTTATTCGTGGATTCATCGGATACTATCCAACAACACTATCCAACATAATTGACGTGAAGTAGGCTTAGTAACATTAAGATTATATTCTCGAATTATTAGTTCTCATCTTTTATTGATTACACACTTAATTCGATAGTATTTGGAAGAAAAAATCAATGTTCGAACTAAGATTGTGATTTGGTCTTTAAATGTCAATTGTATGTTGCTACATCTAGTGTTAGAAATCTCAAAGGTCTAAAAATTTTGATAAGTGGTGACTCTAAAATTGTAATTCAATTACTATTGTAGTTTATTAAGTTCTTAAAAATTTGTATTATTAAATATTATGTACTAAATTTTTAATATAGTTTAAGATTTGTAGTAATCACCCACCTTAAATATTATTTTAATTGTAATTATATTTATGTTCATAATTTTATCATGGGAATTCACACATAATAATTATTAAATAACAAAAATTTTATATATGAATAAACCTCATCTAGGGTATATTTTTATTTTCGTGCATCGCACGGGACAAATACTAGTTTATAATAATAATATAAAAAACAAACACTTGATATAAACTTTCTACCATAACATGGTTTTTATTCAAATTAAACCTTATATTATTTGTTGTTATAACATTGTTTTTATTTAATATATTTAACCGAACTCCTTTTGTAATCTGAAAATAAAAATATATATATGATTATATATTTTATCCGAACTCGTTTTGTTATCTGTAAATAAAAAAAATATAAATATATATTTTAACCGAACTCTTATCTATTTCTTACTATCCAGAAAAAATTTAAATGTCAGTAAAAAAGGAATAAAAGCCATACAAATTACAAAATGATTCCAATAAATATTGCTAGTGTTACATCATTGATTAATTTCTCTATGTATATTATTAGTGATTTAATTTAACTATATATATATATATATATATATATATATATATATATATATATATATATATATATATATATATATATATATATATATATATATATATATATATATATAGAGTAAATACCGGCGGAGGTCCTCCGACTTTGGTGGCACTGCCATTTTTAGTCCTCAACTTTTAAATCAACCACTTTTAGTCCTCTTACTTTTGTTTCTAGCCATCTATGGTCCTTTCGTTAAACTTGACCATCTAATGCCGTTTTCTAAAAGATAATTCAGTCCTTTCATAATTAATTTATTAATTATTATGTTTAATTTCCTCATCAGAATAGTCAAACAATGGTTTCCCAGCTATGAACGTGTACAAAACCAGCTCGTGAATCAAAATGACGTACAAAAGCTGGTATGAAGGTTGTGCCAAAACGACGTCGGGATATCTCGGTATGACTCGGCAAACATAATAATTAATAAATTAATTATGAAAGGACTGAATTATCCTTGAGAAAACGGCATTATATGGTCAAGTTTAACGGAAGGACCATAGATGGCTAGAAACAAAAAGTAAGAGGACTAAGAGTGGTAGATTTAAAAGTTGAGGACTAAAAGTGACAATGCCACCAAAGTCAGAGGACCTCCGCTGGTATTTACTATATATATATATATATATATATATATATATATATATATATATATATATATATATATATATATATATATATATATATATATATATATAGATTTACATTCAGGTAAAAACACATCTTAAAATACAAGTATGTTAATGTGTGCACGAGCTTTGATGGATGGCTGTGATTTTTCCTCCTACGCGCTATGTGCATGTAAGTATGTTAATATGTGCACGTGCTAATCCCAGAAATTATTGGCAGTGCGCCCTGTGTGCATGTAAGTATGTTAATGTGTCCACGGGCTCAAGTTTGTATTTTAAGGAGTGTTTGTATTTTAAGGGGGTTTGTATTTGAATGCAACCCTATATATATATAAATAAATAAATATATATATATATATATATATATATATATATATATATATATATATATATTCACTTCACTTATTTTTATAGTGTTACCTTCACCCACATACCTAATCATCAAATACCACCTACCTACCCCTACCATTACTATTTCCTATATTCGTGTAGTATAATCATATTCCTTTTACGCATCATAACCTATTTATTTATTCCTACTATCACCTATCTATTTAATCCATCCCCAGCTATCAATGCTCCACAATTGTCTACTTACCATTACATGCAACATATGCATCTATATATTGCATTCATATTTCTTTTACTTGTTGTACTGTTATTTCTAACTTAATCCCATCTACCTAACCACAACGCCATATATAACAACTTACATAGTTACAATATTACTTGATACTTTTATCAATTGTCACTACATTTTTATTTCTTTATGAAGAAAAAAAATAGTGCAAATTAGTTTCATATTTTCCAAATTAATAAATAAATAGATTTGAACATATTTAATAGCTTTCTAATGAAAATGAAAACTTGACATTTTTTTAGAAGTGTGTGTATATATTTAGAGATAGAGAGAGAGATGAAGTCAATAACACATGTTCCGAAATGAATTTGTCAATGTTTTCACAATTTGATTTCTTTACAAAGAAAACAATTTTTTTGTGGTTCAAATTCAAAAAAAAAAAAAAAAAATCAATTCTTATATCTAGTAAAGTGGATGAGAGCGTAGAGATTACCTTCTCAATCTAAGGAGTTTCGATGACGATTGATGAGATCGGGTTGATAGATGTATAGAAACATTTTTTTCCCAATCGAGAAACGAGAGTCAAAAGAGATTGAGAGCGAGAGAGAAAATTAAAATGAGAGGAAACTTGAGAGAGGGTGGATTTCGGTGCTTAGAAAGAGAGAGAGAGAGCGGAGGGTGGAGGGGGAAAATGTTAAAGAACTTATAAAGGATTAGGGTTAGACATTTGGACGGGAGGAAAACAAATTATATTTAGAGAATTGTGCCCATTTGTTTCCCATTTAGAAAAGGTATTGAGTATAAATAATGGAAATATATTAAATGGAGACGGAGGATTAACAAAGAGGATTTTGGTGCTTATAGAGAGAGGGAGAGAGGAGGGCAGAAATGGGGGAAACGGTAACGGGCAATTAAAGGGTTAGGGTTAGACAATTGGAGTTGGAGGCATTAAATTGGGTGGGTCAACAAAAAAAAAAAATTTCATTCCCAGAATTTGGTCTATTTGTTTTTAATGTAGAAATGGAAAAAAAAAAATTCATACAAAGTTTCCCTTAAAGTAAATTTGGTTTACAAAATTGAGTTTGGAGGAAAAAGAAAAATATTCAATAGGGAATCGAAAAGTAAGATATAGAATATGAATTATATTCCATATTTGGTTCTTTAAAAGACATCTAGACCCCCATGAAAAATAAATACTTGATATAAATAAAAACAACTAATAAATGCATGGGACTTGTATTTCAGCTGCCTGCATGTGTGAACACCATCATTCTACTCTTCCTGAAGAAAACTAGCCCTTGAGTTTAGCAATATCTGAATATAGAGGCTCTGCATCAAAATGAAATTGGAACAAGTCAGCCACATTAAAAGTCTTGGAAGTTTTCCACTCATCTGGAATGTCAAACTCACGTAGGCATTAGGATTGATTCAGATGGATATATTGGAAATGACCCAATAATAATAGAGACCCAGGTCCGGGAATTTATAACCCAAGCAGCCCAAGAAGAGTCTCAAGCCCGGAGCTTACCTCCGGGCCCAGAATGATGGGCCTTGACTTAATCTCACGGCCCACCACATGGGCTTGGATTTAGTCCTGTGGCCCTCCACGAATTTAGCCGTAATTGATTGGAATTTCCTTTGCATAAATAGCCTAGTAATTGTCTTCTTAAGGGCATGTTCTATCTTGTGTCCTAAACACTTTCTTGTCTTGTTATTACACGTTTCATACCTCTGTAATAGCGTTACATAGTCAATTAATACAATATTAGTCCCCGTGACTATATTCGTACCCCTATTATCGTTTTAATCCGATACTTTTTATATTTATTTATTCATTCGGGTTAATGAATCCGAACCCCCGGTTTAATTAATTCCATCAGATTCTTCGGAGGATCTTGAAAGGACCATGCTTCTTTGGGCTAAGCTTATGATAAAAACTAGTTGGTAGTCTTTCTTTACGGAGGTGGACCATCACTTCATCACCAACATTGAAGAGTTTTTGTCGCCTTTTTTTTTTTTTTTTTTTTTTTTTTTTTTTTTGTCTGTAGCAGCCTTGAACTTGGCGTTGGAAGCTTCAAGTTTGGTACGTACCTCTTGCTAAACATTCTGGACTTGTGAAGCCATGGTATCTGCTTGCTTGTGAATCTTTTCGCAGGAAGGCAGTTGGAGAAGATCAATTGCATGTTTGGGAGTTTTTGTGTAAAGACACGGCGGCGGCGCCAGCGTCTCCCGAAAGAGAATCGCCTTAAAACCCCTGTTGCCTGGGCGGCACTCTTCAATTTTCCATTTGCTTTTACCGTCTTCAGGCGTGTAAACCCTCAAGTGCTCCCCCACTTTCATGACGAGATTTGTGTTGTTCATTACATACATGAGAGAAACGCGGTTACATATGACCACAACAATGGGAGTAAGCGTCGACGTCTTACGCGGCGGCTTAGGTAATAACTGTTGGATACAAGCCAGTTTTGTCCATGAATTTTCCACCCCAAATTCTCTCATCTTCCAAACACTCACCTTGTCTCTCTGAAACCAAGACGCCAGGAAAAACCCCCTCGACTCACATAGGGAAATGTTTCCGCTCCTTTCGGGCTTCGGCCCGGACAGAATGACGGCGGAATTTGTTGTCAGATTGAAAGAGACAATTTTGGATTCCCAATTGTCACGAGCCACCATTGTGCTGCTTGACCAGTTTAGCGTGCCATTGATGTGGACGCCGATGTTGGGGTAAACAATGCCGGCCCTAAGCCCATTTGGGATTTTTTCCCAGGAACCCGACCTGAAACTGTACACCAAAACATCATAGTCGTTGAAGGTCTGGGTACGACAAGCGTACACAACCTTATAGTCACAGTTTTGTTGGTCGTATCCAAACCCATACATCCCGACAGACGGCCAGCCAGGCGCGTCGTCGATTTTCTTAATTTTCCTCGTGCAAGGGTTGCACACCACGACTTTCTAGTCCATTCCTCGGAAACACAGGAGTCCGTTGTGGGTTCCCAGATACCTGATGGCCACTTCGGGGACCTTAAGTGATGAGCAGTTTGTAGGGCATTGGTCCTCCTCGGCCAGGATGGAAAAGAGGGACAAGTGGAGCCCGTCATCGGTGGCAGCAAACGTGGCTACTTTATCCTCCTCGTCATTCTTGTGGAAATCCAGGTGGGATTTGACGAATTCGGGCGATGATATCACAGCAAGCCACGCCTTTGAAACGCATTGGAAACGCAGCAGAGGTTTCGCCGGCAACCTTGTCAGAATGTCGGAGAATATGAGATCCTGTGGTAGATGAGGAAGTGGGCTCCGAGGAAGGTTGCTTACTTTCCGATGATTAGAGGCAAGGGATAGCATCGACATAATTGGGAATAGTGAGAGGCGGCTGCGGGCAGGAAAATGATAGATTGATCAGAAGTAGTATATAGTATGAAGTGTAATTCTTATTTATAGTGAAGAAACGTAATCCATCTTTAATGCCTATTATGGAAATTTCTAGGATTATATTACACCCTAAAATCTTTTCCAAATTGGGAACAAATAACATTTAAGTTTTTCCATATTTTTTTTCAATAGATCGAGTTGATATGATCAAAATGGATAAAATTTCTCTTAGGGGTTTACCAGCTATTACACAGGAGGGGGTGTGATTTACATAGTTTAGGGAAATAAGATTTCAACTTTCAAGTTTCACTTATCATTCAAAAAAAAAAAAAAAAAAAAAAAGAAGAAGAAGATAAAGTTAGTGTTACCTTCACCCACCTACCTACCCATTGCTACCATCACTATTTTCTATATTCCTCTAATATAATCATACTCTTTTTGCGCACCATGACGCGTTTATTTATTGCTAATACCACCGACCTATTTAATACATCCCCAACTATCAGTGCTCCACAACTGTCTACTTACCCTTTACAATATATGCATCTATTGCATTCATATTTCTTATACTTGTTTTACTAATTTATACTTTTTTTTTTTTTTTTTTTTTTTTTGCTTTATGAAGAAACAAATTAATGCAAATTAGTTTGATATTTTATGAATTGATAAATAAATAGATTTGAACTTATTTAATAGATTTCTAATAAAAATGAAAACTTGAAATTCTTTTAGAAGTATATATATGTATATTGAGAGAGACAGAGAGAGAGTGAATTGCATCAAAATAGCGAAAAACTATTTGGAGTTTGGTAGAGTTTTTTTTTTTTGTTTTTTTATTTTTTTATTTTGTTTTGTTTTTTTCTTAATCTATTTCACTTTTAACTGTGGTATCTGGACATGTTTGTAAATGTGGGTGCATTAAGTAACAAAAATTTAGGAAAAATAGAAAATGTATTCAATAAAACATGTTTCGAAATGAATTTGTCCATGTTTTTTCAATTTCAATTTATTTACAAAGAAAACAATTTTTTTGTAGTTGTTCAAATTAAATAGACAACATACATCTACACTTCTAAAAAAAAAATTTCAAGTCTTATAGCTAGCAAAGGGGATGAGACTAGAGATTACCTTCTCAATCTATGGAGTTTCAATGACGATTGATGAGATCGGGTTGATAGATGTATAGAAACCTTTTTTTCCTAATCGAGAGACGAGAATCAAAAGAGATTGAGAGCGAGAGAGAAGATTAAAGTGAGAGGAGACTTGAGAGAGAGAGAGAGAGAGAGGATTTCGGTGCTTAGAGAGAGAGAGAGAGAGAGAGAGAGAGAGAGAGAGATTGGAGGGTGGAAGGGGAAAATGGTAAAGAACTTATAAAGGGTTAGGGTTAGACATTTGGACAAGAGGAAATTGGGTTGACCGACGAAAACAAATTACATTTAGAGAATTAGGCCCATTTGTTTTCCATTTAGAAAAGGTATTGAGTATAAATAATGGAAATATATTAAATGAAAACGGAGGATTAACAAAGAGGATTTTGGTGCAGAGAGAGGGAGAGGGAGAGAGAGAGAGAATGAGAGAGAGAGAGAGAGAGAGAGGAGGGTAGATGGGGGAAACCGTAACGGACAAATAAAGGGTGTTTAGATAATTGGAGTTGGAGGAATTAAATTGGGTGGGCCAACGAAGAAATTCATACAGTTTCTTCAATTAAGAGGGTATTTGAAACTCATAGTAGTGTTTTAAAAACCTATCAACCAAACAATACCAATCACTTTGGTACCCATTGCTTAGAGCTAAACCTGTCAACCAAACGCACCCTTAGGGGAGGTTTGGTTCAAGGGATCTCAGATCACCAGGGTAATCTGAGAAAGGTAATCTTAGATGATAATGTTTGGTTTATGTAATCTGAGAGGGTAAGTAATACAAGATTACTGCCACCTAGGAAATGGGAGTATATTAGAGGTAATCTGATTACCAAGTTTTTGTTATGTAATATAAGATTACTTTTCAATATTTCAAAATTGCCGTCATTTATTTGTCTTCTTTTATTTGTGGTGTTGGATGGATTGTAAAATGAAGTAGATTACAATTGTAATATTTTGCTACTTATTACAAATTATGTAACAAGACAATCAATTAGCAGGAATTGCATGTTTGTAGATTTTAATTTAAATTTTGTTGTTGGATGGTCTGTGAAGCATCTTTACAGGGTATGCATTTTATTATTATTATTATTATTATTATTATTATTATTATTATTATTATTATTATTATTATTATTATTATTATTATTATTATTATTATTATTATTATTATTATTATTATTATTATTATTATTATTATCGTGTGCATTTTATTGAATTGCATCTTTACCGTGTGCATTCCATCATCATCATCATCATCATCATTATTATTATTATTATTATTATTATTATTATTATTATTATTATTATTATTATTATTATTAATTATATTTCTTTTACCTCTTAACCGTAATAGTATACATTTAATCTTACCAAATATCTTTTTGCAAACCATTAATACAATCCGGTGGTCAAAACAATTAATGCTATCGGCTATCCATGGATTGCAAACCACTTTATTCAATTTGATATAGACAATGATAAAAACGACTCCGTATTATGTAATGGTCATTCCAATTTTATTTCGTTTATTTTTTTCCTAACACGTATAATGAGCATACAACGTCCATGGATAAATTTTGTTGCTAAGCATATATAGATGGGTATTGCTACAATAATTTGATGAGTGATGACCTAATACATGCAGCATCATTCTACATATATTATTCTTTCAAACCAAAGTAAATTCAAAACCAACAACTCCACTCCTCTCCCTACACGACAGGCCATATATAACAACCTACATAGTTACAATATTATGTGATACTTTTATCAATTGTCACTACATTTTTTTTTCTTTATGAAGAAAAAAATTAATGCAAATTAGTTTGATAGTTTTTTGAATTGATAAATAAATAGATTTGAACTCATTTAATAGCTTTCTAATAAAAATGAAAACTTGAATTTTTTTTAGGAGTATATATATATATATATATATATATATATATATATATATATATATATATATATATATATATTGAGAGAGATAGAGATAGAGATAGCGAGAGAATTGTATCAAAATAGCGAAAAACTATTTGGAGTTTGGTAGTGTTTTTTTGTTTTTTTTTTTTTTTTATTTTTTTTATTTTATTTTTTTTTCTTAATCTCTTTCTCACTTTTAACTGTGGTATGTGGACAAGTTTGTAAATGTGGGTGTATTAAGTAACCAAAATTTAGGAAAAATAGAAAATGTATTCAGTAAAACTTGTTTCGAAACGAATTTGTCCATGTTTCCGCAATTTCAATTTCTTTGCAAAGAAAACAATTTTTTTGTGGTTGTTCAAATTAAATAGACAACATACATCTACACTTCTAAAAAAAAATTCAAGTCTTATAGCTAGCAAAGGGGATGAGACTAGTGATTACCTTCTCAATCTAAGGAGTTTCGATAACGATTGAAGAGATCGATCGGGTTGATAGATGTATGGAAACCTTTTTTTCCAATCGAGAAACGAGAAGAGACTCAAAAGAGATTGAGATCGTGAGAGTAGATTAAAGTGAGAGGAGACTTGAGAGAGAGGATTTTAGTGCTTAGGGAGAGAGGGAGAGAGAGAGAGAGAGAGGTGGTTAGACGGGGGAAATGGCAAGAGCATATAAACGGTTAGGGTTAGACATTTGGACAGAATGAAATTGGGTTGGCCGACGAAAATAAATTACATTTAGAGAATTGGCCCAATTTGTTTTTTATTAAGAAAAGGTAATGAGTATAAATAATGAAAATATAATAGAAAGAGAGAGAGATAACGGGAGGATAGATGGGGGAAATGGTAACGACCATATAAAGGGTTAGGGTTCAGACATTTGGAGTTATAGAAAATTGGGTGGGCCGGCGAAAAAAATTTCCATTCAAAGAATTGGATCTATTTCTTTTTAATGTAAAAAAAGGTCAGGAGTATACAATACGGAAATGGAAAAAAAAATCCATACAATGTAGCCCTTAATGTATATTTGGTTTACATAATTGAGTTTGGAGAAAAAAGAATAATATTAAATAGGGAATCGAAAAGCAAGATATCAATTTTGAATTATATTCCATTTGTTGTTCTTTGAATGTATACATTTTAGGAATTGTATTTAAGTTTTGGTTCATTTTAGAAATGGAAATTACGTAAGTATTCAAATTATTGAAATACCCTATATAATAAAAGATATTTATTCTCAAGCATAGCATGTTCTTGAAAATAGTATTTTCAAGAATATATAAACTTAAAAAATTTCCTATTATGGAAATTTCTGTGATTATATTACACCCTTAATTCTTTTCCAAATTGGGAACAAATAACATTTAAGTTTTTTCCTTTTTTCAATAGATCCAGATATATGATGAAAATGGATAAAATTTATCTTACTGGTTTACCAACTATTACA